AAACAGAAGAACTGGGCAGGGCAGTAGGAAGCTTTTATCTGATGGTTTAAATGGCCCTTCCAACTCTGACTGCAATTTATACATAGTATCATTGATTTGTAAAACTTGTTTCACATCAAAATAGAATTTCACTGAAATTTAGGACCCATCACCAAAAACCCTACATATGCAAGAACAGGCTAAAATGAGTAACCACTATTTTGAAGAAAATAGGGAATATTTAGGACAGGGGACCCTTTCATCTATAGAGTATATAACAACAACATACGAGTGAAGGGAGAGTTTTCAACTTCAGAAATAATGGAACTCCTTGCCCCAAAAGGGAAAGATTACTGATTCAAAAGAATTAGCCTTTCAGTACTAAAGTTACAGGACTGAAGTTTGGAATGTCTGTAACCAACAAATCCAAGAGCAAAATGTGAAAAAGCTGAATTATTAATAAATTTATTAAATTGATTACCTTTTTCTTCTAGGCTGAAGGCAGAATATGAATATTTGACTAAAGTTATGTGATTCTGCTGCCATCTTGTGGCTTTAAATACCAATACCACTCAGTTTTAATGAGGTATAGTATAATTTATCTTTAAATCTACAAAATACAATACCTTAATTGGAAATTTCCTAAAACAACCAGCAATACACAGACTAAATAGCACTTCAGACTGTAAAAAGAACGTACAATGGTTTTGATATTAGTTAGCTATTTTGACTTTCCTGTTTCCTTCCTAAGGTAGAAACTGTATGACAACTGTACAGAGAATGAACATTTCATTTGGGATATGGATTAATGACACATTTAAGTAATATCTATGGAGTATCTATGAACATATTCATCTGGAATTCTATCCCAATTCAAACAATATATTTATATTTTCTAAATTAAACACATTTTCCAATAGGTATTGATTTGGATGCACAGAATGGACACCAATGGTATTCTAATTACTAAGATGTTAAAATGGTCTAAAATGGATGGACACATTCCAACTAATTGGATTTTTTAATCTTCCCTTAAAAAATAGAAGCAGTATGTGGACTATGATCTTAGTTTAGGATTTATCTACACACACACACACACACACACACACTTCTATAGCAGTTTCTCAGAGCAGTTTATAAGAAGCCAGTTAAGAAAACAGTCTTATGTAAGACCATCACAATAAAGCCAACAATGCTTAAGAATAAATACAAATATTAAAACAAAATTCTTTTAAAAAATAGCAAACCAAAATAATACAGAAACTGAAGTATAGTCTTACACTGGGGTAATTGTTAACCAACAAACGTCTTAAAGAATAAGCATGCCTTCAATTGTCTTCTGTGGAACAGCTGAATGTTTTTCATGAGAGAATTCCATATGAGTCCCTGTCACTGAGACCTTACTCCTTGATACTACACAGAATCGAACCTATCAGCAAGAGAATAAGGAGGTCTTCCCAGCAGAACTTAATGCACAAGTTGGATATATTTAGGGAGGTGATTCTTTAAGCATTTAGGGCTTCACAGACCAATGCAAACATCTTAAAAGTCACATAAAACCAGTGAAATACTTTCAGGAACAGCATTATATGGTCAGGTGGCCCAGGCCACATCATGAACTAGAGTTTCTTCAAAAAGATTGAAGGACAAAATTTGCTATTAATTATATAAAGTATATTAAATAGCTTTGAAGCAGCAACCTATAATTTTAATTTATACATATATATTTATAAAATATATGTATATATAAAATACTGCATGGAATATAAGTATATATTCCCTATTTAATTGAAAAGATCACTTTTAAAATACTTAAGTACTTTCATCATATTCTCAAAATGTTTGACTTGCACTTTGGAATAGGTTCCTGTTTTAAGCTGGTATAAAATCTGGGAAAGGCAAGAAATGAGTTTGAAAACAATAACAGCTAATTTTGGCAGAGATAAAATTATAATTAGAAATTTTCTAGATTTTACTTTTAACTACTAAAACCTATACTATGTCTTAAACAAAACACAAAAGAGAGGCTAATCAGGTTGTGCTGCAAAAACATTTACCTTCATAACGCTGCAATAATTTGTTTATTCGAATGTCCCAGAACTTCACTGTGTGATCAGAACCAGCAGAAATTATACATGTACCATCAGGATTAAAATCCACATAGTTTGCAAAGCTACAAATAAAATTAAAAACAATAGTTGTCATTGTGAAGGAATCAGGTCATCTGTTTGGCTTATTTCACTGCATCCTTAAGGAGATGTCATTGTCATAAAGCTCAGGACAATATACAGTGGGGCAAACAAGTATTTAGTCAGCCACCAATTGTGCAAGTTCTCCCACTTAAAAAGATGAGAGAGGCCTGTAATTTTCATCATAGGTAGACCTCAACTATGAGAGACAAAATGGGGAAAAACATT